GCCAGTAGCATTCTGATTGAACATCTGTCTTGCCTTTCCTCTGAGCCTCGAGCATTTGCCAGAACCTCTCGTCACTCTCCCCTGCATCAATCTCACCAGACTATGGTGATCCATCTGCTCCTCCAAAATGTACATGCTCTCCCACATATGAGCTTTCTGGTTATTACACTACTCATTCTATCCCAGTAATGACTCCCAGTTCCACAGGGCTATTGTTTTCACTTCCCAGACCTCACATTTATTACTTAACCTTTGGCCCAGCGAATGCTTTGAAAAGAAAAGAAAAGGCTCTACTGGCAAATTTGGCCGGTAAGCTGGACTGCTTCGGCCGGCTTAGCGGGGCTTAGTGGGAGTTATGTCCCTTGGCCAAACTCAAAACAAGTCGCAGAAAAAGTCACGAATCAAACGGCATACTTACCTATCATCATCCGGGTGCGTGTAGGGTTGCGTAGGGTGTCTATCATCGTCCACGGTTGCGTGTAGGGCTGTAGGGTTGGTTGTTTGCGTAAGAAAAATGAGGGGTAGGGTTAGCGGTTAGGTTTAGGGTTAGGTGTAGCGTTAGATGTGACTATTGTGACGCCGTAGTTCCCTACAATCGCGCACAGTCGCATGCACGCCCAAACAGTCGACAGACGGTGGATGCTACTGACACGGACAATTCGCCACCGATTGGGCATCAGCCGCGCGCTATTGCCGTCATATTTGGCACAATTCCAGTGGCGCCACTCCCACAAGCATCAGATTGTCGGCCAGTATTTCCACCTCCTACGTGAATATTTTCACATCATCTAACCCTAACCCTACCCCTACCCCTAACCCCTAACCCTACCCCTAACCCTAACCCTACCCCTAACCGACACCCCTAACCCTACTGCTAACCCAAACCCTACACGCAACCGTATGATGATGATGATGATAGACACCCTACGCATCCCTACACGCAACCGTATGATGATGATAGACACCCTACGCGCAACCGTATGATGATAGGTAACCCTAGACGCAACCCTACGCAGCCCTACACGCACCCGGATGATGATAGGTAAGTATGTCATTTGATTCGTGACTTTTTCCGCGACTTGTTTTGAGTTTGGCGAAGGGACATAACTCCCACTAAGCCCCGCTAAGCCGGCCGAAGCAGTCCAGCTTACCGGCCACATTTGCCAGCAGAGCCAAAGAAAAAAATGGGTCATGAACCCTTAAAATTCCCACACAAAAATCCTTTTTATTAAAAAAAATTAGAGTATATATCTGGTGACCCCATGACCTTCATCAGTTATATATAATCTTTCCGCAGCTTTCTGATCTAGGTGCTTTGCTGGAAGAAAAAATTAACACGTTCAGCCAGTATTCCTGAAGGGGGAGCTTTAGGTTATAATTGAGTAAAAAATAAAAAAAATAAAAAGTAAAGATCCCTCTCCATGCCTTTAGGCGTATCGGGCATATGGGAAGAGTGCCCATACTTTTACAGACCATCAGCACTCGGTGGGTAATGTGGTCAGCATTACACCGGCTGTCCTTTCCCAGGACTTATAATTGAGACTAGCCATAGAAAATGGCTTAGCACTGCACGCCACCAAGAGCCCTGAAAAGGACTCCTGCGGTGTTGATGCGATCAAAGAAGATAGACCCAAATACTTTTCCAACTAGCCAGCCAATAGGCGACCGGTCACTGATGAGTGCTTGTGGTCTACTCCCATTCAGGTGTTTTATATACCAGTGTTGGTCTCTGTTATCTTGTGTGGGGAGTGGACACAGTTGTCAAACAAACTACACACAGAACCAGAGTTCTTTACACACTACTGGGCATATGGTGCTAGCCCCCATCCTTTTTTATACACCGGTCAGTACCAGATGGGTGTTGTGGTCAGTACCAGATGGGTGATGTGGTCAGTACCATATGGGTGTTGTGGTCAGTACCAGATGGGCGATGTGGTCAGTACCCAATGGGTGTTGTGGTCAGTACCAGATGGGTGATGTGGTCAGTACCAGATGGGTGTTGTGGTCAGTACCAGATGGGTGATGTGGTCAGTACCCGATGGGTGTTGTGGTCAGTACCTGATGGGTGTTGTGGTCAGTACCTGATGGGTGTTGTGGTCAGTACCAGATGGGTGTTGTGGTACCAGATGGGTGTTGTGGTCAGTACCAGATGGGTGATGTGGTCAGTACCAGATGGGTGTTGTGGTCAGTACCAGATGGGTGTTGTGGTCAGTACCAGATGGGAGATGTGGTCAGTACCAGATGGGTGTTGTGGTCAGTACCAGATGGGAGATGTGGTCAGTACCAGATGGGTGTTGTGGTCAGCATGATCCTAGCTGCCCTTAATCCCCAGATCATTTTCTGGTATCCACTTTGGTCTGGGTTCTTTTTTAAATAAATTTTTGTTTGGGGGGAGGGGAAGAGAGGGGGTGAGACTTAGGGGCGTAAGTCTATTCTTTTTTTTTTTAAATCTTCCCTGATACAGGTTGAAACCTTAAACCTTTAGACTGAGCTGCCCCTGACTGTAAGCAGATTTATTGTCAGATTGTCAAGCCAACAGCTTTTTTTTTTATTATTATTATGACTGATTACTATAATTATTGTACATAACACAAAGAAAACACGAACTCCGTGTAAGATTTTTCACGTATGAAGGCAGCAATTTTTATTTTTTCTTGTTTTTAAGCAAGCAAGACAAGGGGAGTTTTAGGTAATCTGACTCTGTGTGGGGAAGCCATATTTTATTGGGGCTCTGGAGAATGTGGTTATGTAAGAGCTGTGCAAACAACTGTTTTGCTAGTGCTGTGGAAAAAAAAATCAATGTTTGAGGTTGTCATTCACATAAAAGCCACCCATTGTTGGTGTTCATTTTGTAATACATACAAAAAAAAATTGGTACATATAGGCAACAGTGCACATATTCATTTGTATATGCATTCAGTTGTACCAGGATTGCCTTTATGTGTGCGGGCAACTGTGCTGATTTGATTGCCTGCGCAGTGCCGGCTTTCGTGATTGAATGCTTGCGTCAGCAGTGAGTTGCAATTCTGGTGGGAGACAGTGTTGGCACATCTGATGGCTGCAACACATATTTACATTGCCTGTGTGCACTTTAGGATTATACTGAGACTGATATGGGTTTTTTTTTTAACTGGTTTTGTTTTTAATAGTTTTTTTTTTAATGGAGAAATGAGGGATATTTTGTTTGATTTCCACTGGCACAGAAGCGGAACAGTTGGAGGGTGGCTAGTGAAGTTGTAACCTCTACTATTGACAACGTACAGACAAGTCTGCCCGTGTTGTTGCTTTATGTGCAGACAGCTGTTCCCAGACTGCCTCGCTTGTGCAGATTATGCCCTGAATATATCCACGGCTTGTCTATCAAGTCACAGCTTGTGTGTATGCAACAACACCACCACCAAATCTTGGATGCCCCAGTTGCATGTCTACAGCCACACCTGTCAACACTCTGTGCCCGGATGAATTTGAGCAATTAGGGGATAAATACAGAAATGTACTATATTGTATATACCAATATTACTATAGGCATTTATTTTCTCCATTCAGGAATAAACTCATGTTCTTGTGTTGGTCTAACCTTATCAGTGTTATTTTTCTGTTTTTTGTTGTTGTTTTTTCACTAAATGTATGCTGTTAATCTGAAGTACTTATTTTTTACTGTTTCTCTTGTGTTCTTACATTTATTATTCGATTTATGCATACTATTTTTTTCAGGTGATTACATGTGCTGTTTATCTTGAGCTGTATTTTAATAAGTTGATTTAAGATATTTACCTTGTGCTGTTCTTTTATTTATTACTTGATTTATGCTGGTGTTCTTGTGATCTTACATTAGCACCCGAAAAGGCTAGAACAAAGTTTCGTTTGGGAAGATGTTACTGTGCCCATCTGTCTGATCTGTTTGTGATTACCAATTCTCATGGAGCTCTCACCTCTTCCTCCTATTAATATATTTATATGCCTGGTTCTGCGCATTGTTGTGCACGTAAAAAATCCCTTGGCAGTTGGAAATCTAAAAGAGTATCCTAACGGTGCTGCCCAGGCAAAATTTAGAGTTAAAAATCTACTCAAAGTATTTCAGGATCCTCACCGGTGCTACAGAGCCTATGCACTGTGCTGAGCTTCTTCGGACTCAGACTTGAGTTATAAGAAAAAAACTGAGCACTTATGGGTTACACCTGTGTGCCATAATGTTGATCGTTGTTCAAAACCCCAAACCTCTGCCAGTTTCTATGTGTGTATTTTGGTCAGTTTTTTACTCATACCCTGTGGGTTGCAGTAAATAGACATTTCATACTGACTCTAAAATACATCTACCCATTAAACAGGACCCTACAAAAACATACTCTGTTCCATAAAAGATGGCTAAATGCCATACTTTATTTCATGAAACATTATTAAAATAACTTTGTTCCACAGAACGAGGCGATTACCATAAATTATTTGATCTGCTAAACAAGGCTCTTAAAAAAAAAACTAAAATACCAAACTCTTTTCCATCAAAGAAGCCTAAAATACTGCATTCTATTCCATTAAAGATTGTGCCATTAAACCACCTGAGTTGAGTCCAGAATTGAAATCACAGCACTCGGGTCATTCCCATGTGTGCTCCGTCCTTATCTTCAGCAGCCGGCACAGTTCCAGTACTGATGGTACCGGTCACAATCTGGTTCTTTAAATCACCAATTTGCTGCTAATGTAAACACCCCCCCCCCCCCCCTCTCTCTCTCTTTTTATGATGTCCAGGTACTGGATTGGGTACCCAGAATGTCTGGAAAAGTATAAAACAAAAACAAACAGAGGTGAGCATGACAGAGTCAGAGAGAGACAGTGGTTTTTGTGAAAACTTGCTGCACCTGATCTAACAGACATCTCAGCCCATTTTCTGTCAACTTTTGATTATTAATTATCATGTAGAGGTATCTGGGTAGCTAGCAGAAACCTAAAGCTTGCCAGACATGCACTGTCTCCTTTTGATGTCATCCTTTCTGGCGACTGCTCTATGATATGGGCCTTGGTGGCGTCAGCATGGTGATAATTGTCTCGTAGATGAGGAATGTGATGGCACAAGCTGGGGTGACTCTGATTAGGTTCGGCCACAGGCCTTTATAAAATCCATGGAGGCTTTCATATCTGAAATACATAAATGAGAAACGTTTCATGTGGTATTCTGTCTGTAATCAAAATATACAGTGGTACTTTAGTATATGTATGCTTTGATACAAGTTTAACTTGGTGTATGTCCTTTTAGATGCGAAAACTTTTGCTTCATTTATGACCTTTGAAATTTGAACTTGTATGAGTCAAAATTAGTCATAAAACCACCTCCCACACTATCTTTGTGTACCTCTCTTGAGACAGAGCCAGGGAAAGATGTCAGTGACTTTGCAGAGGAGTATCACCCCAGCATAGCCTAAACAAGCAATAATAACATTATCTGAAATGACCAGTATCACATTTGTTGGCCCCCTGAATAAACTTAGTTGTATAGCTCGGCCTTTAAGGCATCTGAGAGCAGTCAAGTATTTTACCACTAGACTTAGGGCACCTGACAGCAAAGTATTCTACCACTAGACTTAGGGCATCTGAGAGCAGGAGAATATTTTACCACTAGACAGGGCATCTAAGAGCAGGAGAGTATTTTACCACTAGACTTCGGGCATCTAAGAGCAGGAGAGTATTTTACCACTAGACATAGGGCATCTAAGAGCAGGAGAGTATTTTACCACTAGACATAGGGCATCTCAGAGCAGGTGAGTATTCTACCACTAGACTTAGGGCATCTGAGAGCAGGTGAGTATTCTACCACTAGACTTAGGGCATCTGAGAGCAGGTGAGTATTCTACCACTAGACATTGGGCATCTGAGAGCAGGTGAGTATTCTACCACTAGACTTAGGGCGTCTGAGAGCAGGCGAGTATTCTACCACTAGACTTAGGGCATCTGAGAGCAGGCGAGTATTCTACCACTAGACTTAGGGCGTCTGAGAGCAGGCGAGTATTCTACCACTAGACTTAGGGCATCTGAGAGCAGGCGAGTATTCTACCACTAGACTTAGGGCGTCTGAGAGCAGGCGAGTATTCTACCACTAGACATAGGGCATCTGACAGCAGGCGAGTATTCTACCACTAGACTTAGGGCGTCTGAGAGCAGGCGAGTATTCTACCACTAGACTTAGGGGATCTGAGAGCAGGCGAGTATTCTACCACTAGACATAGGGCATCTGACAGCAGGCGAGTATTCTACCACTAGACTTAGGGCGTCTGAGAGCAGGCGAGTATTCTACCACTAGACTTAGGGCATCTGAGAGCAGGCGAGTATTCTACCACTAGACTTAGGGCATCTGACAGTAGACAAGTATTCTACCACTAGACTTAGGGCGTCGGAGAGCAGGCGAGTATTCTACCACTAGACTTAGGGCGTCTGAGAGTAGGTGAGTATTCTACCACTAGACTTAGGGCGTCTGAGAGTAGGTGAGTATTCTACCACTAGACTTAGGGCGTCTGAGAGCAGGCGAGTATTTTACCACTAGACTTAGGGTGTCTGAGAGTAGGTGAGTATTCTACCACTAGACTTAGGGCGTCTGAGAGTAGGTGAGTATTCTACCACTAGACTTAGGGCGTCTGAGAGCAGGCGAGTATTCTACCACTAGACTTAGGGCGTCTGAGAGTAGGTGAGTATTCTACCACTAGACTTAGGGCATCTGAGAGCAGGTGAGTATTCTACCACTAGACTTAGGGCATCTGACAGCAGGCGAGTATTCTACCACTAGACTTAGGGCATCTGAGAGCAGGCGAGTATTCTACCACTAGACTTAGGGCATCTGACAGTAGACAAGTATTCTACCACTAGACTTGGGGCATCTCTCTACAGTAAGGTCTACCCATAGACTAGGTCCCCAGTCTAGCTATTAATTCTAAGGATCTTCCAAATGGTAAATATCTTTTTACAGGTAGTTAGGGAACCAAAGCCAGTACTTTTTAATTATTTAGTTTCATAAGGCAATTTTAGGTTTAGTTTGTCATTGCTTTCTGATTGGTCAGTTCTCGATACCAATGCCAAAACCAATGCAAAGCAGTGTGCTGCCAAATCACCTGCAGCTGGAATCAAACTGGGCACTTTAGAGTTATGAAGTTCGCAACACCTAATCAGGGATGCCGACAGTGACAAATTTTCCTCCATTTCTGCTTGCGTTTTGTGCTGACGACGACCTTTCTCTCCCGTATGGTCTCCAATCAGTTAGGTGAAGGTTGGCTGCAATGGATCTCCAACAGGCTCTGTCTCCTGCCCTGGTTGTACACTTTCTCAGACTACTGCCCATCCTACTCTTGATATTTTCCTCCCACTTGTATCACTGCCTACCTCTTGCTCTCCTGCCTTTGACCTTTCCCTCCAGTATGGTCTCCAAAAGAGTGTTGTCTTTTAAAGTGGCTAAAGTATTCCGGTTGTCTCTTCATTTCTTTCAGCAATTCTCAATTCTTTCAATTTGTAGTCCCCTCAGAACTTTTGCATTGTTTTTGTTTCCATGAAATATGACCTATTATTCTGTATATGATTCGATTTTCTAGTTGCGTGTTCATTGTCCAAGTTTCTGCACCATATGCAGGACCGAGTATACACAACATTTAACTGTATTAATCCTTTAGTGCATTGTTTATCTTGCGCATCTTACTGAAGACAGTTTTAGCCATTCCTATGCTTTTTTTTCTGTTTCGCTTCTTTCATCATCTGTTACTAAGTCTCCTAGATAGGAAAAACTTGTTACTTCTTCTAATAGCTCTCCGTTTACTGTGATCTTCACTTTTGGCTGCTCTTTTCCATTGTTAATTAGTATGGTTATAGTTAATGCTAACAAATTACAGCACATACCCTGACTGTGCTTGCCCCGTTCTTTTCTGTGTCACTGTGAGCAGACAGCAATTCATGGAATGGATTTCACTGTACATCCCAGTATAGCAACAACAAATCAAAAGTCAAGAGAGAGACAAAGAGATAGAAAGAACTGATTGAACAACATCCATTGTTACATTAACTGAGAAACAAGGACTGAAATGGTTTGGTTACCATGTGAGAATGACCCAACGATGCTGGCAGTAACAACATGAAATCTAGCCTAAGAGTTGACATCACAGCATGTCAAACAAACAAGTCTGCCCTGGTTCGGCTACCTATCATCTGTTCAACTGCTTCACTAAGTGGCATACAGCAGATACTGACAACAATTAGCCTGGAGGGAATGAGCCACCTGGGTGTAACCAAAGTGTCTGGCCAGCTCACTACACTCAGAGGTCCGGCAAGACGGACATATAACCAGATTGTGACTGGTACCATCAGTATTGGAACTCTGCGCTGGCCGCTGAAGATGAGGATGGAGCATGCATGGGAATGCCCCAAGTGCTGTGATGTCAAGTCTTAACTCAACTCAACAATCTAAAGACTTTGTCAACCTCTGTCCCGCCTGTATTGTGTCAGTTGTTTTCATTAGTCTGGGGGTCTCCATGGTGAAGTGGTTTTTTTTTTAATGGTTGCGCCATTTGGTTCACAAGTGCAATTTTTACAAAAATTCCTGGGGATTGTCACTAAAGCTACGGAGTTTGTGCTTTGTGTGACGCTTTTGGCAGACATCTAGCCATTCTGCAATCGGAGAGGGAGCCACATGGATAACACTCAGTGCACTGAAGTTGATCCTCTCACGGTCCTAAACAGTGTTCAAAGAGGCAGTAACATTTTTTATTTTTTAAACTGCTGGTGAAGGCACGGCAGGAAAATCATAAAATTAAGTTAAATAATAACAAACACGTTTGGCATTTTCACAGACAAGTAACCAAAAAAAAAAGGAGACTCAAACACAAATAAAATCAACCAAATTAAAAACAAACTTTAGAAATTTATTTTACAGGAAAATTACATCAACTAAAATATGACATGGGCATCACACAAATCAGATCAAGTGGCAAATTTTCACCAAGCAGTTCATCTGTAGAAAGACCTCCCATAGACTTTGCCTCTTACCATGATCAAACATGTCTTCTATATCATATCACCGCATCTAAATCACTGTCTTCCTCTGGAATGTGTGCCCTCCACTTCTCCCTGCTCACAAAAGTTCTCACATAAGAGTATTATATTTGCCCAGAATATTATATTTGCCTCACATCATAATCTCATTCAACAGTTCACTACCAGCTGAATTCAACATAACGAAACAAACAATATCAAAACAATGTAAAACAGATCAGAAATGTGCCCATCTGTGGCAGCAAAAGTTGCTGTGTACTCAGCCACTGACAACAGTCATACATAAATGCTCAGAAATTATTTTCATCTCTGCTGGGCTCTCTCAGCCAAGCCTAAAATTATTATTTGTCACTGTTCCTCTGAGTGATGTAAATGCATTATGCCTGTCCGTAGCACAACTGCAGTATTTGTGATGTATTAAACAAATAATTAGACTAGCGCCTCGTACCCAACTCGCTATCAGATGTAGATAAGGTCTCTAACCATGTAGCCCTGAGAAGTTGCACAATCGACCCCTCCGACTGGGTCCAATTCCCTGAAAGTGTCACCTTTCCAATGTGACTATAATGGCCTGTTCATGAGATGCCTAGCACACTGGTATACCTTTTGACTCTGCATACAGAAGGGTCAGTAATTACTACATTTACTTTAAAAAAAAAGCATTAAGAGTGGGTTTTCCAGTGAAAAATGGCTTTATTCATAGAAACTGTGATGTAATAATTTGTCCATTGATCACAGTGTTAACCTGCGACAAGGTCAGAAATGAGCCATATTTTTTTAAAATTTAGACACCGAGATGTGACCCAGTTAATTCTCTGCTGCATTCGTGTAAACTGATGACTCCCAGTATTCTGTAAAGAATGCATTACTGTTTTGGTACATAAATAGAACTGTTATGATTTTCTTTGGTGACCTGTGTGAAAGGTTTTTTTTTTAAAGGATTTATAAGGGAATTCCCTAACTATGAGTCACTGCCATTGCTCAGTTCAACACACAAGTTACAAATAATGAGACTATGCTAACAGACAGTCTTAAATCAAGCTTACAAATCAAGACTTATTTATTAGTTTTTTTCCTCAGCTGTACACAATATTGTAACATTTGGTAATGTTTCC